TGACTCGTTTCGTGAAAGATCGCTGGCTGAACGATTCTTCTATCAAGGCAGTAACGTTGTACTTTTTTTTGCAACTAAAAATGTAATTTTCAGCAAAACCAGGCACATCCAGTGCCTCCAGCAGTGAAAAAACGAAGGCAATAGTCGCATCATCGATGTGTAAAACGGATGTGAAATCCAGCAAAGCGGATGGTAAAAGTGAAGTGAAAATTGAGGAGCTACCGGACAAGGTTCATTATCATCATGTGTTACAGTAGAGCAGAATTCTTTGCTATTTCATTTCATTGTTGTTGCATCCTTTCTCGAAAAACTTGTTGTGTAGGGATAAATTGCGCTTCTTTGAAGCTTTGGGAAATTTTGTTCTATCACTGCATTCCCTCTACGATTCGTTGATGGGGGGTTTCAATGATAAATTAATTCTGGATTACCATTGACAAGGAGTTGGACCATCCTAGATTTGCCTCCTAATGTTGCTTCATCGACAGCTTTAGGAGCAAGTAAATGCTACTCAGCTTTGCCTAAGCATCATCAGCATCTGATCATCGATCACCCACTCCCCTCCCCAACCACTGCCATCGTTAATCGTTTGGGACTCCTTTTTTTTTGTTCTGCTTCTCAGTACTTCCGCTTAATACTGCACTTCATGCTTAATTTTAACTTTACCCTCTCTTTAAAAAGCACCCGTGAATGTTTGGAGTCGGAGCCTGCGGAGACATAAGTCAACGGAACTTGTGGGATGTTCGGTTTTGTTCGATAAGCTTCACATTCCAGATGATTGTAAAGCTTTGTTGATGAAGCAGTGTAGCTAAATGCTAGTGATAGCTTGATGAATTTCACCAAACACAGCAATTGTTGGGAGTTTTCAGGTTTTTGATGCAAATGAGCTGCGAAATAACTTGAAACCAATTGTGGACAGGTTACTCAGCATGGAGGAATCGATACCGTTCAGGATCCCAGTCGATCCGGATATTCTCGGCATACCGGTAAATTTCTTTTTCTTTTTTTCATTTCGTTTTGTGCTCGAACGATTGTTTTTTTAACGATTTTTTTGACGACTGTTTTATTTTTTCATTTGTTTTTTTTTCCAGCAGAAGATATTGTGAGGCGTACATGAGATTCTTCCTCATGTCCGCCACTTTCTACTTATTTATCCATATCTTTTTTTTTT